AAAGTGGGCTTCTTTCGCTCTACAGAAGACAGAATGAGTTTTCATGTGTAAAAAATGGATTTTTTAAATTTTTAAAAAAAATTTAAAATTTTTTAAATTTTTAAGATAAGACCTTTGAACAGTTACTGAATTGAAAAAAAAAACGTGAAAATCTATAACTTTCAGTTTGTTGATACTTTTTGGTAATATTTGTAGGATGTTTGAAAAAATCTTACTTTTTCAACATGAAAAGTCATTTTGTGTTCATCAGAACGAATAAAGCACACTTTTGAGAAAATAACTGAAAGAAGTGTTCCGATTTGAAACAGCATAAAAATCTTTTACAAATAATAGTTTCCTAGACAGGTTTTGAAGGCTTTTTGAAGATTCTTAGTTTGTTCACATAAAAACTCAGTTTGAGTTTTTTATAGTGAACAAAGCACATTTTTGAGATAAGAACTCACAACAGCTAACGAATTGAAAAAACGTGAAAATCTATAACTTTCAGTTTGTTGATACTTTTTGGGTCACACATAGAGACAAACGAGACGAACAACCATTCACTCTCTCACTCACACCTAGGGACAATTTAGAGTTATCAATTAATCTAACAGTCATGTTTTTGGTCTGTGGGAGGAAGCCGGAGGACCCGGAGAGAACCCACACATGCACGGAGAGAACAYGCAAACTCTACCCAGAAAGGTCCCCGGACCGGGATTTGAACCGGTGACCTTTTTGCTGAGAGGCATCAGCTCTACCAACTGAGCCCTGTGATGGACTTACACCTGTCCAGGGTGTACCCCGGCCCTCGCACCGTGACTGCTGGAAATTGGCACCAGTGACCCACGCGACCCTGAAAAGGAAGAAGTGTGGAAAGAAAACGGATGGATGGATACTGTTTGGTAATATTTGTAGGATATTTGAAAAAAATCTTACTTTTTCAACATGAAAACTCATTTTGTGTTCAGCAGAACGAATAAAGCACAATTTCGAGAAAAGAACCGAAGAAAGTGTTCTGATTTGAAACAGCATAAAAATCTTTTACAAGTAAGTTTACCAGACACGTTTTAGTAGTATTTGTTGGATTTTTGAAAAAAAAAAAATTTTTTTTTAGAGCAAACGGACCACACCGCAGTTTGCGACCTTCAGCTAAAAACTTTTTAATGGATATGATTGTGCAGCCCTGTTGGTTGGTTGGTTGGTTTCAACCAGGCTAACATTTTTGGTAGTATTTGTAGGATTTTTGAAAGAATCTTACTTTTTCAACATGAAAACTCATTTTGTGTTCAGCAGAACTAATAAAGCACACTTTTACTTTAGTAGTGTACTGCTTTACACTACCTGTGTACTACTTTACACTTTACTGTAGAAAAATGTTCATCTAACCAAGTTTCAGTCTTATCAGCTAAAGTATTTTTGATCTTGTTTTTAGACCAATATAGGTACTAAACAAGATCAGAATATTGTTAATCTCGTTAACCTGAAAAGTTTTTTTAACTTTAAATTGCAACTGTCAAACTGCAGATCATTATTAAATCATTATTAATTTGAAAAAAAAAAATACGGGTCTAATCTAGTACTTTTAACTTATTTTTAGATGGCTGTTTTGCAGCGTCTGATCAGAAATCAGTTCTTCAKACACTTATTAAATTTATTCTTGTTTTTTCTTAGCATTAAAATATTACAGAGTAAATATATTTATTTATTTAAATCAGGTTATCCAAAAAGACTTCAACCTCAGCTTCACCTTTAAAAT